TAAGTTATGAGTAAAAGAGGCATAAAAGCTTAAGAATCTTTTATTATTACTTAAATCTCTTTAAAAAATAATTGACCCTGCATCTCCAAGGCTACAGAGAAAATCAATGAGAAAATTATATGTGTGCATTTGCATGTGTGCATAATTTTATAATTTGATGTCTTTAAAAAAGTTAAATAAAATTGGATAAACCACTTAAAAAAAAATTGACTTCCAGGCCTCCCCTGGTGGCTCAGCGGTTGAGCACTGGGCTGCAAAGCTGCCAGAAGCCTCTGCAGCGCTGGTTCGATCCCCGGCTGCCAGCAAGGGTCCCACATGGTGCGCAGCCCTCTCCTGCTGCCTGATGCTCCCCTCAGCAGTGTATTTCGGTCCATCTGCCTGTTCTGTTCCCCACTATGGCTCTGGTAAATTCTCTCACCCTCCCATGCTTCTGACTGTACCCAGTGCTTGTATAAATAAATAAATAAATCTTTTAAGAAAAAATTGACTTTGTACTAATAATAATGTAGTATGGTGTTTGTAACATACCTAAAAATAAAATATTTGAAGGTCAGAAAGAAGAAATGAAAGTTTACTATATATTATAAGGTTTTTATACTATATGGGAAATGGTATAATGTCTTTTGAAGATATAACTTGAAATTAAAGATTCAATTATAAATCTTACGGTAACCGTTTAAAAAAAGTTAAATTTAAGTCAACAAAGATAGAATTATAAAATGTGTTCAAATAATCCAAAAGAAATTAAGAGAAATAGGGACCATAAAGTGAGGAGGCAAATAGAACTCTACTATCAAGATGATGGATATAAACTTAACCACATTTATAATTGCATTAAATGTAAATGATCTAAATAGTCAAATAAAGGCAGAATAAGACTGAATAAAAAGTAAGACTAAGTATATATGGCCTACTTTAAATATACAGACACAAATAAGTTTAAGTTAAAGGATATAAAAGATACATCAAGTTAACCCTAGTTAAAAAAAAATATCGGGCCTCCCCTGGTGGCACAGCAGTTGAGCGCTGGGCTGTGAGGCTGCCCACAGCCTCTGCAGCTCCGGTTCATTCCCTGGCCGCCAGCGAGGGTCCCACAAAAAAAAAAAAAAAAAAAAAAAAAAAAAAGATCAATATCAAGACATCAGAATTTAGAGCAAAGAATAGTATCATGGATATAAAGCAGGTTATTCAACGATGATAAATGGAGCAATAGGACACAATAATGCTGTATGTTTATATACTTAATAAGAGTTTTAAATTAAATTGAGTAAAAATGTCTACAAGAAGAAACAAATACCCAACTATAGTCTGACATTTCAATACCTTTTCAATAATTGATAGAACAAGTAGACTACGAATCAACAAAATACAAAAGATGCAAACCACACTATAAACCAACTTGGCCTAACTGACATTAACAGAACATTCAACCCCAAAAACAGAAGAAAGCATATTCACCTCAAGTATACATAGAATATTTACTAAGAAACACCAGATACATTCTGGGCCATAGAAAGTTATCAATAAATTTAAAAGGATTTTAGACATACAATATATGTCCTCTGACAACAGTGAAATTAAATTAGAAATTAGTAACAGAAAATCTCTGGAGAAAAACGTCTAAATATTTCAGAAACTAAATAATAAACAAATAACCTGTGACTCAAAGAAAAATCACAAAGTAATTTGGATATTAGGGTAGTACTGGGCCTCCCCGGTGGCGCAGCGGTTGAGCGCTGGGCTGCAAAGCTGCCCGCAGCCTCTGCAGCGCCAGTTCGATCCCTGGCCACCGGCGAGGGTCCCACATGGCACGCAGACCTCTCCTGCAGTGTACTTTGGTCTTTCTACCTGTTCTGCTCCCCGCTCTGGCTCTGGTGAATACTCTCACCCTCCCATGCTTGTATAAATAAATAAATAAATAAATAAATAAATCTTTAAAAAAAAAAAAAAAAGTAGTACTGAGGGGAAATTTGATAGCACTAAGCTCTAATATTAAAAAAGAAAGGTCTCCGACCTCCCTCGTGGTGCAGGCTATTGGGCACCTCACTGTGAAGCTGTTCGAAGCCTCTGCAGTGCTGATTCAATCCCAGCTGGCCAGCGAGGGTCCCACATGGCGCAGCAGACCTCTCCTATCTCGGCCGCTGCTCCCTTCAGCAGTGTATTTCGTTAACCTGCCTGTTCTGTTCCCCACTCTGTCTCTGGTGAATCCTCTCACCCTCCCACACATCTGGCCTTTACCCCAATTCTTGTATAAATAAATAAATCTTAAAAAAAAAAGAAAGGTCTCAAATGAAGGATCTCATCTTTCACCTAGAAGAAATAAATTAACTAAGACAGCAAAAATCAAACACAAAGCAGAATAACAATAAAGAAAAATCAATTAATGAAAAAGCTTGCTTTTGAGATTGTTCTCATTTTTTTTAATAAAAACTAATTCACAGAATTTTTTGTCATAACTGTTGACTCTGTTTCTCTAATTGTTCTCTATTTGTTCTATTCTTTTCTCTAATTGTTCTCTAATATTCCATAGTAAATCAGTTGCAAAATCTTGGGTTCATCATGACTCTCCTCCTTCCTAACTTTACACCCAATCTAATCAATACTGTATTGGTTCATTTAAAAAACACCCAGAAGCCTACTATTACTTACCATCTCCACTTCTTTTACACTGATACAAACCTCCATTGTCAATGACTTGCGACTACTGTACCGACTGTTAATAGGTCTCCCTCCTTTCAACCCCACTCAAGTCTACCCTTGTCTTTGAATAGCAGCCAGAAGGTCTTTTTAAACAAGTCATTACCATGCTGTTCCGCCAATCAAAACCTGCAATGATACCTCATTTCACTTAGAAAAAAAGTTAGTCCTTATAATGGCCTATTAGAACTGATACATTTAGGTCCCCCCACTCTACCACTGCCAATATTCTCCTATTCCTCACTGACTCAAGTCACACTCACTTTTAATAGTACTCCTCAAACATGCTAAACATGTTCCTAGTTCAAAGCTTTTGTACTTAAACTGTTTTATTGACTTGAAGAGCAATTTCTCCAGATAGCTATAGGGTCAGTTCCTTAACTTTTCAGACATCTTTGCTCCAATGTATGCTTCTCAGTGAGGCCTTTATAAATATCCTTTTTCAATTGTACATTCTCACTCAGCACCTATAACTCTCTGCATCCCATTCACATTTTTTCTCCATGTAAATTATCACACTCATTATCCTTTCAGTGTGTGTTATCAGCTCTCCAACCCCAATAAAGTATTAGCTCCAGGAGGACAGATACTGTTGTCTGCTTTATTCTCTACTGTAACCCTAGACCATGGGGACCATGCCTGGCACCAAGACTCTTAAAAAATAACTGCAAAATAAATTAATTTAGGCTTGCTTATCTGACAAATTTGTGGTCTCCTAGAGATTTAATAGTTCTTTGTGAAATTTATCTTGATTACTGCACATTTTATTACTCCTCAAGAGTTCCATGCTCATTTTTATTTATTTTTAAATATTTATTTTTTATTTATTTATTTTATTTATTTATTTATACAAGCACTGGGTATAGTCAGAAGTGCGGGAGGGTGAGAGAATTCACCAGAGCCAGAGCGGGGAGCAGATCAGGCAGAAGGACTGAAGTACACTGCTGAGGGGAGCAGCAGGCGGCAGGAGAGGTCTGCACGCCATGCAGGACCCTCCTCCGGTGGCCGGGGAGCAGCCGGAGATCGAACTGGCGCTGCAGAGGCTGTGGGCAGCTTCGAAACCTAGCGCTCAACCGCTGTGCCACTGGGGAGGCCCCCATGCTCATTTTTAAACCTGAATATTTCACGACTAGCTATTCTTCCAGTTAAAAAATATAATACTTTTAACACATACATTTTGCTTCCTACTTCTTTATATTGCTGTGGTATTTTCTTTAGTTTTCGATTCCAAGGTATAGCTGTTTGCTGTTTGCTGACTGCTAGTATTGATCTTATTGTTAATATCAATAAAGCATATTACTTCTTTTAGTATAGCTAACTACAAGTAAAATAAATAGTATTTTTAAAATTCCATACTAAATACTAAAGTTTTTCAATCACTGTAACAGCCCAGTGTTGATGTATGCATAATGCTCAGAAAATTAATCAATATGAGATGCTATTTTAAAATAGTAAAATTAGCTCAGCCTAACCAGAGGGTTTAAATTAGTAGTTCTGGTTGATACTACCTTATAACCCTTAAAAAGTTATTCCTCAAACATGCCTGTATAGAATAACTACATTTTAAATAAATATAAAGTGCTTTTTTTTTACACAGCTTTTTGTCATATATAAATAGAAGTATATTTATTCTTCTTCAACCAATCTTTCGCTTCTCTTCACTTAAATCCTATCAATGGTAGTAGGTAACACTCATGTCCCTGTACAATTCTTAAAATTCTGTTTTTCAAACAAAGTACTTTTAAATACACATTGAATGCATAAAGTACTTAAACAGGAAGCATGAATCACAGAAGACAAAGGATATCCAAAGTATGAAAAACAGGCAACAGAGATGGGAAGCATAAAATGCAGCAAAAGTAGGGATGGAAGGAAAGACAGGGTTAAATTCTTACATTTCTCCTAGGAAGTTTGTGCCATTATCATCCACCTTCCTCCTCCCCCCAAAAAAAACAAAAAAAACTTTAGCCTGGGCTAATATTAAACACTACCCAACCCTCTGCGTAGTTACACTCTTTAATACCCAAATTACATATGTAATAGCACTGCAAAGAGATCTCTGCTCAAACTATATACAGAGAGGGGTGGGGATATTTTAAGTTCATCAACTTTTTCTAAGATTATTTTTAGGACTAGTAACTAAAATAGATATATATTATTTTCAAGCATGCACTTTAGTATGGGAAAGCAGAGAAACTACTAGCATATCTATATTGTGAACTATCATGTTTCAAGAAATGTAAATTTACACCAGAGTAAAAATTTTTGAATAAATTTAATTTATGTACAAAATCATATAAGGATATCATATCCAAATCTCAGCTTATCTTCAAGTTTCAATGTTATATAAGTCTGTTCTGGGATCCTTACATCATTCACAAAAGTCTACAAAAAAAAAAAGATATAGGTTATATAGGAAGTATGAAATATTAAATTTCAGACAACCAAATACACATGTCTCTGACAAGCACATATTTTATGGTGGTTAATACAGCATACATCTTATATTTTGATAAATACATTCTAAGCCCGATATCAGTATTACCAGTAACATACAAACATCACCAAAACAAATTTAGGCACCTAAAAATGATGCCAGAAAAGCACCAACCAAAACTGGCAAATTTTAAAGGACATTTATCTCTCAATACATCATCAAGATTCATTAGACTCAATTTTAGCTTTTTGGAACAATTTCAAGTTTTTGTGAGGACTGATATTTCATTACTTTTATTATTAAATTATTCCAAAGACTGAAATGCATAAGTACTTTTAAAAATGTATAAATCTCGTTCTGTTTTATAACTACCATATGAGTTCTTTGTTTCTTTTTATGCATGTAAGATATTATGAAATTTTAATCTATTTTTCCTCTATCTTGAAATATTCTGCCATTTCATCATCCCATAATTCATCTTTGCTCATCAATATTTCTACCTATGCTGAACAAAATAATGAGAATGGAATTATCTAGAATATCATTATTCAACAAAAATATACTACAAGTTACCAAAGTTAGTCATACACATACTACTAATTTTTTAGTAGTCATATTAAAAGGTGAAAAGATTAGTGTTAATAATACATTTTTACTTTAATCTATACATCCACAATAGCACTATTTCAACAAATTATCAACATAAAATTAATAAGATATTTTACATTTTTTTATTTTGCACTTTTTTTAGACTACTCATAATTCAAGTGTTGGACAGCCACACATGGTAGCAGCTATCAAAGTGTAAAAAGTGCAGAGCTGGAAGGATGATGCAATCATGAATAAATCACAGCTTGTTGCATCAACTTTCAGTTATCTTACGGTTTTGTCCAAAATATTGTACCATATTTCCAAGAAGACATAAAAGACATCTGGAGACAGGAGAAACTATGTTTTTTTTCTTCTTTTTAGTTATAAAAAAGCACACTTAAGAACTTAGAATTTTTCACTTAATATAAAGGCAAAGAGAAGAAAACTGACAAGAAGATATTTCATAATTATAATAGGAATACAAAAAGACAGCTCTACTTTAGACTATAACAACAATGATAAAAGTGATAGTTAAAGTAAGCAACATATCAGAGAATGTATTTTCAAAAGAAATTAATCCTAAATGACTTTTCTCTGATGGAATAATTGATGACAGAGAGTATGTTTCCAGGGACAAAAATAAAAAGGATCTTTTATGTCCAACTAGTTATTCAGTAAGAATCACACTATTATTTTTCAACAATAACCTGAACAATTCTGTATTTTAAAAGAAGTTTTGACAGAGTATTTTCATTTATTGATGTTAAGGTTTTGACACTTATTTAATTTTTAAGAGGACCAATGCTCAAGAAAAGTATCCATAAAAAAGTAAATAGAAGGAAAGAGATGAAGTAGAAATGAAATTACTGTACTGACCACAACTTGTTATAAATCTACAAATAAAAAAATTGCAATTATAGAAAAAATAAGATCATCTTAATAAAATTTTAAGCTGTCAAAGTCTTAAAAGTAATGCAGTTTGACAATACAAGTGCAAGAAGTAGAAATAATAAGCTAGAATGAGCTAAAAGTGCATTTGAAATCTAGAATCAACATTTATAAATTAGATATTATCACAGGTGAATGCATGATCACTGATGGGCAGTTAGTGGCACTCAAAGATAACCATTTTGTGTACTATGCTTATTATGTACCTTGGAAACCAGGAAAATCTGGGCAAAATTTTCAAGTTGTTTTTCATTATCCTTTTATTTTTATTTCCATAAATTGTTTGTGAAAAGACTTAAAGGTTCCACTGAATACAAAGAGTAAATGGTGTCTACTTTGCTTGGAATTTTAATTGGAATTAAAGAACTAAATTTGCTAGATTTATAGAATATATTGATAGAACAATTTTTATATTTGACAGTCAAAAATGCCAATATCATATAAACACTCAACAAGTTTTTCTTAGAGAAGCTCTAACTTTTAAGTATTACTATACTCTTTCTTTTTGAATTCCATTTTTTCTTTCCTTTTTTCTTTTTCTTTTTTTTTTTTTTGTGGGACCCTCGCCAGTGGCAGAGGAACGAACCGGCACCAGCGCTCAACCACTGTGCCACCAGGGGAGACCCGAATTCCATTTTTTCTATCCTCTATTTTGTTGGATTTGAGATGGGAGTAATACCTTATATGGACATCTCCCTTCTATGATGGGGAAGTTTAGGAAAGTGCTGAATGATGGCAAGGGGGTTATGGTATTATGGACTCAATTAAGAAAAACTAGAAGCTGCAATCTTAATATCAAGCACATGTTAGGGCATTTTAAAATTTTTATCTTGATTTTACCAAATATTCTATAGATAATTACAAAACAGAAAAGGTGAGGAAAGTGATGGAAAAAAAATTTAAAAAAATAATTCACTGATTTTGGTGTGCAGAAGATAACCAAATACACTGTGTAAGAGAAATGCCACAGTTCTAAGTTAATTCTCAATACATCATGTTTACTCAAAAAACTTTTGCTGAGTCCAAATAAAAGTTTAAATAAATAAAACTTTTGCTGAGTCCAAATAAAGTCCAAATAAAGTTTAAGATTGCTTAAAGTATAACCTATTCCCCTAAATCATACACACTGTCAATAAACTAGTGTTATCTCAATAAACATTTATAAAAGTAAAAAAATGTATTAAAGCCAAAAAAAGCTTATCATATCTTAAAAATCAAATACTGTGTGTTTAACATATGTACTAGGTACTTTCAGATATGAAATAAGATATAAATTTAGCATGCTGGCATTTGTGACAGAAATATTCCCTAATGTCTAAAACTACTTATAAGTAGGATAGATGAACCAAATATAAAATTTCAGCTCACAAAATTGCAAATGCAAAATCTGGGGGTGAAAAAGTCTCCTCATGGTATAAAATACCTCATATAAATATAAAAGGAGAAGAGTACATTTCAAAGAGCAACAGGAAAAACATTTTAACAAATAAGCTATTAAGCAATTAAATGAATTAAATGTGGAAAGAAAATTAGTTTTCATTTCTTATATATCAACATTATTTGATGATCTTGACATCCATCTGATTTTCACCAAATGAAGGTAATGAGGCACAGAGAGTAAATCAATGATCAATATCTGATAGTTCTGAAATGAAATTGCTGGCTTTCAAGTTCACGTCTCTGAACTTTAAATGTCATGTTCTCTCCACATAAGGAATCTTGGGTCCCCATACCAGGTCAGCTTTCCAACCTACCACATTCAAACCACTAATTTCACAGAATCAAACCAAACTATATAAATACCTATTTAAGTCACATGAACTAAACTGTGTAAATGGTAATATAAAATTATATAACTATTTTGCATTATACTGAGAAATTTAAGCAGAGTGGCTATAAACACAACTACCTCAAAGCATGTTGCCAGTGACGAGTCTCCTCTTTTTCCCTAACCATTCACTTTACACATTGCTTCACTCTCTGCCACATTGGTCTGAAGCCAGTTGGAACTCCAGAGTGAAAAAGGGATAGAGCAGGGGCTGGGACACAGGGTACTGAGAGGACAGGCTGCGAACAAAAAACAGAGTTGGAATGGCTTGAAAGTAGTGAAGCAGCAGCTATGGCGGCTCTCAGAAGGACAACAGCTCCAGCAGAGGGAGAAAGCAGGATGAACTGAAGTCAAACAAAGAGAAAGTGAATTTTGAGGGGCTTACAGGGAAAGGACCCACTATGACACAGCTACAGAACCAGTTCCAGCCTTCCCAAAAAGTATAACCTCATTTCCGGTAGCAATAACAACAAGTGCAGATCTATATCCTTCAGTAGTAAAAGTAGAAGTAGTCACAGGAATTTGTATAAACTGAATTTAGTAGATTAAGTGCTTAAAAAAAAAAAGTAATAATGTATTCATTGAAACGTGTGTGTGTGTGTGTGTGTGTGGCGGGGGGCTACAGATGCTAACCTTGTTTTAAATACTTTTCTTACCATGACATGACAGCACTTCTTAAATGTTCACTTTATACTGTTCTAAGCATCTTAAATTATTAACTTATTTATAGTTTTACAACCTTCTGAGAGGAGTACAATTTTACTATTTCTATTTTAAAAACTGAGGAACAGGAAAATAATTTGTCCAAAGTTACATTACGGAAAGCATTCAGGCTGGACTTACAGCCACAACATTGTGTCTCCTTACTTTTGACATTACTATTAACCTGATGCCCTAACTTCTATAATATGAAGATTAAGAAAAAAGATTGTGAAAAACAGTCTAAAAGTTCTATGAATAAAATGCATGGCAGTTGGTAGTTTACAGACTTTGATTACCAAAATCCATTTTCGTATGTCCTACACCCATCCATTTAGGTAATGGTTCATTTGTCATCTGTGTAATGTTTTGAAGTCCTATAGCAGGTTCATACTCACATGCATTGTTGTCATTAATGCTCACAACAACACTGAAGAGCAGGAATTATAATTCTAAACTGAATTCTAAAACTGAAACTAGTCAACTAAATTTTACATTGAATCTTCACACTGATTAACTTCAACTCCTTACATTACTAAAGAACTTTGGAAACCAATATGAATATATAAGAGAAAATGGAATTTCAGGGAGGTTTTAAGTGATTTGTCCCAGGTTAGGCTGTTGGTAAATTACAGACTGGGATGCAAATCCAGATTCTGATTTCAAGTTCAAAATGCAGATGTTGCTCCCTATGAGTTATTATATTTCATAAAATTGGGTATAATCAAATTCTAAGAAAGGTCAATCTAGAGAAACATGTTAATCTGAGTTTTTTTCAACTAAGAATAAATAATTTTTATATCTGATCACAGTCTTTTAAAGGGCTAAAACACTAATAAAATTCTCATTGAATTTTTACCAAAATAATAATGTAAAGATACCTATAAACAGCATTGTGATCATAATAGAACTTTCTAGGCTTATAAACAGAATGTAACATTGTTAAAATAGTCCATGAACAGAACTAGATTAAAATTTTACTGTAAAATTTCTCTAAGCAAGCACTGTGATGTATATACAGAAGCAAAAGTTACATGTGAAATGTTTAAGAGGTCATAATCCAGCACAGTGACAGATGTGTAAAAGCAGATTATATGCAAGGTTTGCAAAACAGCCAAAATAAGAGACTTTGGAAACATTTGTTGGTGTGGAAAAGAAAGAGAAAAATTCAACAAGGAGGAGTTAGGGATCAAAATTGCTTAATTTTCAGAATTTCAATAGCATGTACAAACCAACACTATATTTGCTGATGTTAGCAGACTCTAAGAAAATGAAGAATGAAAACCTCAAGCATTCACTTGTTCTGTGACAATTCTACACATAGTCTAATATAAAAGAATATATATCCATTATAATTCTATTTATATTTATATCTTATGACTGTGGAAACTGAAGAATTAGGAAACAATTCACTACAACTATACAAAACTATCTTCAAAGTAGGAATCTAAGAAAATGAAAACTGGTATTTATTTAAATCACACACCATATTTGCTGCTAAGGTAAACATATGTGTTTCATTTCTTTTTAAACTTATTTAGGTTCACAGCCATCTGGCATCAAGCTTTGCTTCTACCTTTATTTTCTAAAGTTAACCCACACTTCTGTCTCCATGAGTGCTATTTTGCATTCTTATTGCTGTGGCTTTCTACTGTCCAGTCATTCAGTGAGGTCAGACTTTCACGTCTTAAAGAGGCCTTTTTTGTTTAAGACTTCTTGTCATATCAGTGTTGTATCAGTACAAATAATAACAACCAAAAACGTTTGAATTTCTATAAGCATTTATTGCCTACAGAGGTTCATGGGAACATACGCTATTTTCCTATTCTACTGTGATATCCAGAGTACCAACTGCTAATAAGCATTTAAATATAAAATGCAAACTGAAGAGAAAGAAATATAATATAAACAGGAAATGTAATCTGACTGTTTTTCTTATAATACTAAACATATTCAAATAAAACAAAAAATAAACAATTAACTTACCCCATTTAAACTGCCCAAATCTTTCACCAAATGTTCATCTGTAGAGGCATCATAATTGATTACAGCATGTTGCTTATCCACACTACGAGACTGAAAATAATTTTATAAATTTAATAAATACAAGAAAATACTAGAATAAGGAAACACAAAGATTACTGACCAAATACTTTGTTAATAGGATAGTAAGCAAACAGAGGGAAATATCAAAGTAAAAGTGGATTAAAGGAATTTAAACTGTGTTACTATGTAACACATGTTTGGCATCATTCCCCAAAGAAGAAAGCAGCCAAAATTTTAAGACAGTCTTTCTACCAAATTCATATTTCTACCTTTCGGAGAAATTACGTCAGCTGACATTGTTGAATATATCAAATGACAGTTTTTTTTTTTTTTTTTTACAATTCAAAACTTACATGGAAATTGTGTGAATCAAAATTTTGTCATGTTTTAAGTATCCCATTGTAAACGTTACCCTAAAGGATTTTCTTTTTTAAATACTAAAAACTGAACTTAAATTGTATTAGGAGTCTAATGATTTGAGGAAAGGGATACAATGTTGTATATTCCTGAATAAACTTATTCTCACTTAAAACATGAGTTTTAAAATTGGATTTTATGTAAGAGCCTATCTGAGGGAAAGAGAAAGTCAGATAAGTAGAAATAAAATGGCAAACAGAATTTTGAAAACTGCTTTCAGTCTCTTTAAATTTCTTTCTCATACTCTTGTTTTTCTTCAGATCCTATAAATCTTTAGCTTTTTAAAGTTCCTTCTTTTCTGTTCCCCTCCCTTCTCTTGCCCCTCTCCTCTCTATCTCTATACTTCCTTTCTCTGACTTAATGAGTTGTTTGCAGATGGAAGCAAATGAAAGATTAATGGTATGCCGATGGGCATATTTATTGCAAGGAATTATCACTTTAGTTATGAGAAGAGATAGTTTCAGACCCAATGAATCTAAACTCCATGACCATTTATTAGATGGTTACAATATGAACCTGACAGACTAAAACCAAAGGAAATATGCAAAATGGGGAAGAGATATATAAAAGAACATTTTTTTAGTCCTATTAGGGTGAAAGGAAAAGAAATCATTTGGATATACACCCAGAGCAGTCTGTATTCCTCATCAACTGCCTGCTGTCTAGGGAAACAATTTTACCAGAACTCATTACGTATGACTTTTACTAGCACTTTAGTGACATGGGGGAATGGAATACCCAGCTCCAGTCTCTTCTAGCCTTCTAGTCTTACTGAAGGAAGAGGGCCAAAAAAAGTTTCAGAAGTATTTGTGGGGGCTATAATCACTAAAAGAGTATTAATCATACCATTATATAATTCTTCCCCTCCCCACAAACCTCAGTTAGCATCACATCAACAGGGATTTACATATACACATAACATTGACAAAGGGTTACAATGGGAAAAAAATTGTGAAGCTCAGACTATTAAGAAGGAGTCTCTAGGAAAACTCAAAGAAAACAGGAGAAACAAAGAAACTAAAAGAAATGTTAATCCCTGACACTTTAGTTACATCTAACAGTAAATACAGTTTAACTTTTCGCCATATAACCAAAATGCGGAAATCAGTAATAAATAGTCAATAAAAAATGAAATTGTAGTTGAAACTATCCTTTCCAAGTATTACTAAAATTAAAACAAGTTATTAACTTAATTAAAGTTAGCTTAAATTTTATATTGAAAAGTTTTGGTCTTTCCTTCTAAAATACAAAACTCTATATTAAAGTAACTGACATAAAACTCATTCATCTTGTAAGTTTCAAAGGTTTTTTTTTTTGTGGTTTTTTTTTTTTTTGGTGTTACTTTCTTTTCTCTGAAATCTCAAATTTTTTCTAGGAGAGAAATTACAAATCTCAGAATTAAGAGTAACTTTAGGAATAGTAGTATTACTGCTACTTCTCTACAGCTTAGTAGAAAAACCATCTATTATGGCAAATTACAATGATACACATTATAAAACATCTGCATTAAATTTATTTTTTTAATTTTTTAAAATATTTTATTTTATATAATTCTTACATCATTTTTCATCTTTGTACAATGTATGCATTTTCATTTTGGTTATATTCCCCATAAAATTGCATCCCCCCCTTATTTTGACTCTAGTTCTTCCTCTCACCACCCCTTCTTAATCCCCCCCATCCCCCACTGTGTCTCTGGTTTGTAGTTGCTTGTTGATTTTGATTATTACTTTGCATTGATTAGTCTTTTTCCTGGTCTCTTATTTAGGTTTTCTAAATTCCTGCTATGAGTGAGACCATCCAGTATTAAATTTATAAGTTACTTATACTCTATTTTCATTTTTATGGTTTAACATGTTATTCTAAGTACTAAATCCAGTCATTAGGATGACAAGAAGAGAACACAGCACTCCTATGAAAATAGTTTATCTTATTATGGTTTTATTTGCTTTTTTCCCCTAAAGTTTTATTTATTTATTTATGCATATAAGAACTGGGGTACAAGCCAGAGGTGTGAGGGGATGACAGGATTCACCAGAGACAGAGTGGGGAACAGAACAGGCAGAGTGACCGAAATACACTCCTGGGGGGAGCAGCGGGAGAGACAGGAGAGGTTGGCTGCACAATGTGGGTATCTCCCTGGCCGGCCAGGGATTGAACTCATGCTGCAGAGGCTGCAGATAGCTTCACAGGGCTGTGCTTTAACCCCCTGCACCACTAGGGAGGCCCTTTTTATGGTTTTATTCAGTTGAATTAACCTAATGATAAAAATCTCTCTAGCTTGTAAACAAGTGAGATTTCACTTGTGTAGGCTCTTGACAAATGTTAAATGGATCTTGACAAATAATTTCTCAGTGGAGAAGAGTGTAGAGAAACATCAGAAATCCTTTACAGGGTCTCCCCGGTGGCGCAGCGGTTGAGCACTGGGTTGCGAAGCTGCCCTCAGCCTGTGCAGCGCCAGTTCGATCCAGTTCGATCCCCAGCTGCTCCCTGGCCACCGGAGGAGGGTCAGGGTCCCACATGGCCCTCAGAGCGCTTCTGCCACCTGCTGCTCCCCTCAGCAGTGTACTTCGGTCCTTCTGCCTGCTCTGCTCCCCGCTCTGGCTCTGGTGCATTCTCTCACCCTCCCATGCTTCTGACTGTACCCAGTGCTTGCATAAATAAATAAATAAATAAATAAATAAATAAATAAATAAATAAATAAACAAATAAATATCATTTAAAAAAAAAGAAATCCTTTACAACAGTGTACTGAAATTCAAGGGGAAAAATCTGAAGGAGTGTAGAGAAACAAACTCACAAAGAAAAGTGAAAAGTTCTTATATATGGGAAATAAGTCAATGGCTGCTCATGGAAGCCTGGAATAACCTGGAATAACCTGAATCTGACATGTACCCCACCCTCAAGCAATTTACGGGAAGGAATAGTAACAAGAACACCTACTACAAAATTTAGAGTACACATTAAGACATAAGAAGGACCGAGTCCTTTCAGTCTACATGCAGTTCCAACCTTGGAGGTAACTGAGCAAATCACTGAAGATGTTGTATGCGATCAGAAAAAGTATTTTTGCTCATTTTAAATTTATAATAAATAGATGTAATTTAGTGGGGAGCCAGTTGTTAAACATTTGCCAGAATACCAATGGGTTAGCTCCATGATTTTTTTTTTTTTTTTTAATACAGAGAGAAGAAGTTTTCAAAAGAATAGTTTTATGAGTTAAGGGAAAGGTTTCAGTTACGATTCACAAAACAAGTCATTCATATTTGTGTGACTCTTAAAAAAAAACTCAATCAAAGCAAATAAAAACTCAATCAAAGCAAATAAAAATTGATTTTTAATTATCAAATATATTCATGGGAGATATATGTTTCAATAGCCATAATGGAAAGAAAGCAGAAAACCAAGGCTATAGAATGTAACACTTCATGTGATTGTTCAAGACAAGTTAAGGGACTAAGAAAAGATTCATTATTTACATCTAACAAATAAGGATTAATAAAATCATTTTCATTTCCAGATCATCAAACTGATGTTTCCTCTAGACTAAACTAAGCCAGAAAAAGATGTTCTACCACTTAATTTTCACAACACATTTGGATATTTTGATGAAAATTCAATAATCTCTACAAACATGTAATTTAAACCCTGACAAAGACTATTAACTTCATCAAGTTTCTGATACAAATGGGAAAACTTTAGCTAATCCAGTTAAATCACAGACTCAGTTTCTATCAGGGATCTTACTGTTGTTATCTTTAAGCCTCTGGTAAGACTATAAGAATCTCAGACTCTTAAGTCACTGCTCCCTTATAGTCTATTGTGCCTCTAGAACTATGCTGCATCCCTCTTGATTTTTTCTTTGGTAAAAACCCTCCTTCCAATGCTTTGCACTGAACTGTTGAGAATCTGCCTTACTTCAGACTCCTCTTCATTCTCAGGCACAACTGCCTTTAACTTAAATCTGGCTTTCCCCTTGAGAAAATGACTTTCACTTTCTTTAAAGTGAAAGTTGTATACCTATATCCAACGTCCTATTTATTCACCCAGATGAATTCCTACTTCAGCATGACTGAGTTTAAATACCTATATAGATGACTCATAAAAATCTAGTCTTCTCAAGTCCCACAAACAAAATCCTTATCATATCTTAGCATACCACTCATATTGTTAGAGCTTATGTGAAAATGACTCTACCTCTGAAATATAAACCATGGTATTTTTCTATGACCACTTTCTCCTATTCTTCCAGTTCTCACAATTATAACACTTACTAGAGTACTACGCTTCCTTTCTTTGATAGCAGTAAGATACCTAATACTCTCCTTCTTGTACTCCCCCAAGCAGTTATAACATATTGTCCGGACTTTACTTCCTTCTTTGAATATTCTACAGACCTCTGGTTTCAGGTATCTCTGAAATTATACTGATAATTCCCAAATCTGTCTTTTGCTCAGATTATTCTATTGAGCTTCATATATTTATTTCCAGCTTTCTTTTTTTTAATATATAATTTTTTTTATTTTTATATTCCCCATACAATTGCAACCCCCTTATTTTGACCCCAATCCCTCCCCTCCCTTCCCTTCCCCTCACCCTCCATAGAGTGTCTC